AAAAAACGAACTAATAAAACCAAAACCAACTAAATAGAACAACCGAATACCCATAATATATTGTGCAATTTTATGCTCATATCGTAAATTGAATCTCTTTTCTCTCCATACATTTCATTTCAATAAGATTCTTTGAGAATCCCCATTCTTTTCTCTAGGGTTGAGTGAAACGGTTCAGTCTAATCGAACAGAAAATTTGTAGGACTTTGTTTGGTTTTAGTTCTCTTCTTTAAAGCATTTGGTACGAAAGTTTATAAACCGGAAGATTAATTTAGTGTAATATTAATCTTGCCATATGCAAATTATTAATTAGTTCACTGTCCAAATTTATATATTCAGTTTTTATGCAATATTAATTACAAACTTTGCTACTTTATATTATATAAAGATAAAGATAATATAAACATAGAGGAGTAATCTTCCGGTCAGGTATACCTGACCGGAGCCGCCGTCCGGCCTCCTCCTTTTGGGGGCCTTCCCGGTGGTATGACTAAAAGTTACAATTTTAGGTCTCTTTCATTTGAGATGCTTTCAAGTCGTATTTTTTTATTAAATTTTGTGAGCATGTTCTTCACAAATATGTCCAAAAATATAACTTTTGAGCTTACCTTGCATGATGATTGTCCCATATAAACATAATGATAAAAATTATTTTTACTATTATTATTTACATATTTAAATTATCGCACATTTAACTAAATCCAAGATGCAAAGATATAATTCATCAGTTTTATATATAAATCTCGTATCATTATTCAATAATATTGGTCATTAGTTAGGTTACCATTTATAAAGATATTATTTAAGGCAAGAATTGTTATTTTTTATGTTATTTATTTTCACACTTGCCCCAAATTTGGGCAGAAGTTTTGCTTCCAAAAATTGTATCAACTTTGCTACTTTATATTATACTCGTATAAAGATGATGATGATGATAATAATAATAATAATAATAATAATAATAATAATAATAATAATAATAATAATAATAATAATAATAATAATAATAATAATAATAATAATAATAATAATAATAATAATAATAATAATAATAATAATAATAATAATAATAATAATAATAATAATAATAATAATAATAATAATAATAATAATAATAATAATAATAATAATAATAATAATAATAATAATAATAATAATAATAATAATAATAATAATAATAATAATAATAATAATAATAATAATAATAATAATAATAATAATAATAATAATAATAATAATAATAATAATAATAATAATAATAATAATAATAATAATAATAATAATAATAATAATAATAATAATAATAATAATAATAATAATAATAATAATAATAATAATAATAATAATAATAATAATAATAATAATAATAATAATAATAATAATAATAATAATAATAATAATAATAATAATAATAATAATAATAATAATAATAATAATAATAATAATAATAATAATAATAATAATAATAATAATAATAATAATAATAATAATAATAATAATAATAATAATAATAATAATAATAATAATAATAATAATAATAATAATAATAATAATAATAATAATAATAATAATAATAATAATAATAATAATAATAATAATAATAATAATAATAATAATAATAATAATAATAATAATAATAATAATAATAATAATAATAATAATAATAATAATAATAATAATAATAATAATAATAATAATAATAATAATAATAATAATAATAATAATAATAATAATAATAATAATAATAATAATAATAATAATAATAATAATAATAATAATAATAATAATAATAATAATAATAATAATAATAATAATAATAATAATAATAATAATAATAATAATAATAATAATAATAATAATAATAATAATAATAATAATAATAATAATAATAATAATAATAATAATAATAATAATAATAATAATAATAATAATAATAATAATAATAATAATAATAATAATAATAATAATAATATAAAGACAATAATTATTACTACAATGATTATAATAATAATAACAATGATTATTACTACTGTTATTCCTTACATATTTAAATTAAAACAAATTTAGATACAGCCAGGATCACATGATGAGAAGATATATATCATTAAATTATACGTAGTACGAAGTATCATTTTTGTATAGATTATGTTTATCAATCAATAATATGGGATTAAATCATAAATTACGTTTATCATTGGCTTTGTATCCTAAATCCTAAAGCTATTATTTATGGCAAGAATCGTTAGCTTTTATACTATTTCTTTATACACAATTGCTCCAAATTTGGGAATTTTGCCTAAAAAAAACTATAGCAACCCTACTACTTTATATTGTGTATATTATACTCCGTATACAGATATGTCTAAAATACTTTTTGGACATCTCTGTATGCAAACTCTTACGATGTTTTCTTTTGGACTGAAATTTGCTGGTCTGGTCTGGTCTAAACTGGTTTGGTCTGGTCTGGTAAATGTTTGGTCTCTGTGTATTTTATAACTACAGAAGTCTGATCTGGTCTGATCTGGTCTCCACTGATATGGCCTGATCTGGTCTGGTCTGGGACTGAAAACAATCCAAAAGAAAACATCCTTAATGGGTGCACTTACGTTACTTTATACGCAAATTCTTAATTGGTGCAACTAATGTTCTATTTATGCAGAAGTTATTAAAGGAATATATTTAGTACATACGGTAATCTTCATCTACACAAATCATAGAAATATTTAGATTTAGATTTGATTCCTTACGTATGACATATTTAGTATATACGGTGCATTTTTAATGGAACTTCAATTACCTTTTTACCCTTATTTTGGGCGGCAATTTTGCCTCCAAAAATTGTAGCCTGACTGTTACTTTATATTATATAAAGATATATGAACTAATTATGTTTTAATAATATTCATGTGGTCGTTAATTGCATTGGCTACCCAATTGGGTCTAACATCTCGAATTCAATGTACAAAAAACAAGAGAAAGTTACCGAAATGGGACTAAAAAAGTTCGAAAATTCCAAAATAGGACTGTCATGTTTTTATTCCCAAAATAGGACTAATTACTGCCAAATTTGGAAAATACTGTCATGTTTGAAGTCTGGTATTGCCAAAACATGACAGTAAAAACATGGAAGTCCTATTTTGGAATTTTCAAACTTTTTTAGTCCCATTTTGGGTAATAAACCATCAATTACGTACTGTAAAACCACTTCCTAACGACCTAACTTAACATACTTCTAAAGGAATTAACCTCTACGTTTTCACGTAATTAGTTTGTAAGCACTTAAAAGTTTTAATGAATGTGCATGAATGTTTGAATAATTGTTTTTGATGATATATTTCAAGTTGTTTCCCAAAGTTAGAAACATACAAATATCGTCTTGAATACGCCCAATTGGAAATTAATTGGTTGTCCACTGATATATCTTTGTTATTTACTCCGTATTTGATAAGCAAATTTACTCCTCATGGGTATGCATGTTATCTTAATCTAAATTTGCATACCTTTGCTCCATATGATATGTTGTGGTGAATCTGAACTTCAAAAGAACATTTCTTACTTGATCTCTTGAAATTGTCATGATGTGATCACTAATCCGGCAAAACAATCTTGTTTTCTTTATCTTGTTAGTGAGTTTATTTCAACTCTTTGTTACATTAATTATATTAGAACTGATCCAGCATGAGACGAATCCATAAAATAACGGTTGCCTAGTAGAAGTTACATCTACTCCCGGCCAAGAAGCTAGAAAACGTGATGTATGGCAACCGTTTTCGGTTTTTCTACTGTTTGTATACGGGAAAATATTAGGAAACAATTTTCACTCACTTTTTGTTTCTCTAATCAAAAGGAATTAATATACTCCCTCCGTTCCATGGGACTTTGCCAACTTTCCCTTTTTGGTTGTTCCAAAAAACTTTGTCACTTTTCTATTATAGCAACTAATTTGTGGTTCTGCACATTTCTCTCTCTTCTACATACATCTCAACCACACAATTTTTAGTATTCTTATTTCTAACTTACTTTGCACTTGACAAAGTCCACCGCGACGGAGGGAGTACTACTTATATCTAATGCTCGTTCTCCACAAATTAAAAGCAGCAAAATTAAAGATTCCTAGATTTGCATTAGACGTGGTAAACTTCGTATATAGATGGCACGACTCAAGCTACACATCTTTTATGAGTTTTATCGCCTAACATTTTCAAAATTCAGTCTTTTTAAATTCTTTTTTCTAAATATTTTAAATATATGGGAAACTATTACTTTTCTGGATCTCATTGAGCTTAAAAATCGATGAAACTGCTAAAAATTACTACGTATTAATTTATTTTGAAAATGAAATTATATTTTGTATCATTCCTTTTTATTAGTCATAAATTAATTATAGAAGTATTCAAAAGAACTTTCGGTTTTTTCTCTTGAGTTTAAAAGGACAAAAAATAATACTTTATCCGTCTCTTAAAGGTTTGCCAAATGTGACCGGCACGTAGAATAATAAAGAAAAAAATGTGTAGTAGAGATTTGTGCAGATAAGAGAAATAACAGGAGCCACAAACTGATTGATTAGAAGGAAAAGTGACAAAATTTTTGGGACAAACAAAAACAGGAAAGCTGAAAAAGTTATAAAGGACGAAGGGAGTACTATTAGGGCTCATTCGGTAACACTGAAGTTGGTTGAATTTGTTAAATATGAAAAATTATATTTAAGACATATTCAATTTAAAAATAAAGAAAAAATTATTTGAAAAATAGCTGAAATGGTATTTTGCGGCAACTTCAGGCAATTCGGTAAGAAAAGTAACTCCGACCTTACTTATTTTGAATATTGCACAATTCAGTGTGTGAAATTAAAATTTACGTGTTTGATAAAATGTATGTTTCAGTCTGGTGTGGTTTGACCTGGTACAACGTAGAACACATTTGATAACACTGAAATTGAGTGAATTACCTGAATTGGGGGGGAATGAGATCCGTGACTTGGGCGCCGCAAGGGAGATGCCCAATTTTCCAAATCGGGAACTTCTTCCGGGAGAGGGATCCTCGGTTTCAGAGACGGGGCAGGCAGCGCAGGGAGCAAACGCATCCGGCTTTAGGATGCAGGTGCGGCTCAAGCGAGGCATGGCAGCGGCGTCCTGTACGAAATCGACGCCCTCAACACTGGGACTCTCTCACCTCGTTGAGTGGAGATCGGGCCCAGACCTTCCGCCGGGCAGATTGGAGTTTGCGGCCAGATAGAAGTCTGCAAAGAAGCTTTCGTCCTAGGCAAACAGATTGGTGCTCAAGCCATGTTTGCAGCTATTACCAGAAACAGGGGGATTTCCATGGAAGAGGAATTCCTGGTACAAAGCATGTGGGGGCAATGGCAAGAGACAATATGATTCGACAGGAGGAAAATGGGTTTGATATTTTTATTGAAAGCAAAAGTTTTCATTTTGAAATCATTGATTGCAATGCTGTTCACGTTTCTAAATCGAAAAATGGAATTTCTTCTGCTATAAATCTTGATCTTGCTAGGGTTAAATGGTTGAAGGACTCCATACACAAGATCTTTTCGGGTAATAGATTTTGTACTAGGATGGAGTTGCATAAATCCCTTACTATATTTTATGATGCAAATTATTTTGGAGGATTTGTCAGAATAATTGAGAGGGGATATGATTCACTTTTTATTCCGGAGGGATGGAATGGACATGGGATTAATCTTTTTCTTTCTGGGTTAACAAAAGCAATTACCTTGATGAATTCAATTGCTTCAAATATAGCAATTGAACAAGATTCGGGTGAGGTTGTTTTGGATACGAGGAGTATGAATTTGGACTTTCTACCTTTTGATGGAGATTATCCTCATTCTTGGGACACTGAGTTGTCCATTTCAGGAGCTTTACTTCAAGTTGATATTGACCGTTTTGAAAATCGCTCTTTGGATTTGGTTACTATTGAAGATGTCCAAAACCCGTTGATGATTATTGAACCTGAGCAAACCTCTGATGAATTTGTACAACTCAAGAATTTTTTTCATGACACTTTGACAAATGGGGTGGACTCACTTTCACATTACTTGCTTTGTGAATTTGAGAGACTTCTTACTTCTACTTTGGGTAATTTGACTATGGGATCCTGTAATGATGGAAAAACTTCTGAAATAGAGAATGCTACAGAACAAAAAGAAAACTCAGGTGGCGGTATTAGAAGCGGTCATGCTCATCTAGGTGGGGTTTCTAGAGGCAACCTTTCTTATGTTTTTGACTGTGATGAATTTTATGGTGGTCCGGATTCCATAATCTCGGGTGATGAATTTCTTGGTCATGTCTCAGAAAACGAAAAAAGGGTTCCATTTTCAACGATGGAGGATCTTTGGGACTCAGATACAAATGAGATTATTTGTCAAAAAGCACTATTGGTTACGCCAGATAATTGCCTGCCTACTCAGAATTTAAACACCCAAAAAAGAATGTACAAGAAGAGGAATCAACGATCACATCTTATGAGAACTAGATCTCAAACTCGAGCGGAACTATGAAGATGTGTCTGAGGGTTAAAGTTTAGTTTGGGAGGGTTTTTTATTATACTTTGGGTTGGGTATTTATGTTTAGCTTGTTTTTAATTTGTTCTC